CACACGCACACACACATTCTCTCTCTCTCTCTCTCTCTCTCGCGCTCGCGCTCTCTTTCCCGTCGATCCTTTTTTTCTCACCCTTCCGGGGCGCACTCGCGGCGCCCGGAGCTCTAGGCGCGTCGAGCCGGATCCGGATGCTGACTCTACCGTGCCGGAAGCCAACAATTTTTCGAGTAACCTGACGCAAGTGCGAGTAACCTCGTAGCGTATAAACATGCGGACACATACGCGTATGCGGCGTACCGAAGTGAATTTGACCTAGCGAGTCGCGAAGCCGAAGCCGAGCCCTCCGTCGCCCTTTCGCTACGCCTCCTCCCGGCTGCGCGTGCCACGCGATCGCGCGCTTCCCGTCATCTTCCGAACGAGGTTATGTGCCACGCGAGGCCTATCCGCGACCGACCTGAAGTTCGGCGAATGTCGCCGCACTGACGAGACGACGTCCGCCGTCGAGACGGGGCGGAGGTACCGGGGGGGCGTCGATCGATCGATCGAGCGCGCGGCAGTCGCGTGCAGGAACGTGAACGTAGCCGCGGGACGCAGCGGGAACGGCTGGGGGATCGATCGATCGCGCGCGAGGCGCGGAGGCGCGAGCGGCGGCGCGGCGAGGGGCGGCGCACGTTGGCGGGGGTCAGTGATCGAGAACGCGCCACGCCGCTTTGTTTATGCGGGATTTAAAGCGAGAGGATTTAAAACGGAGGGCCGGCGGGAGGAGGGCAACTCGCGAACGGCAAGAACCCTCCGTTTTGGAAAAGTCGAACGCCTCGGGAAGCGGCAAAGCGTAAAACATAAGTGGTTTATCAACGGACGAACAAGAAATGTTTGTTAAACAAACGGCTGTATGACGTTTGAAAAGGTGTACGCATTAATAATTTTTATCGAAACGTAAGAACCCACGTAAAACACGTTCGACGCTATTGGGTGCGTTCGGGAGCTCACTATCGGCGCTACTTGGCGCCGAAAGCGTCGTTCTATCTTTCTTCGACGCATAACCCCTGGTCCACAATCTTGCCTTAAGTAAGCTGTAAGTCTTAAGCCGTAAGAAATTAATTACTCACAGGTGAGAGTGAGGGGAATAAATGCCTGTGATTGGTTAATTTCTTACGGCTTAAGGCTTGCAGTTTACCTAAAGCAAGATTGTGGATCAGGGGTTAAGTAAGCTGTAAGCTTCAGGCCGTAAGAAATCAATCAATCACAGATGAGAATGAGAGGAATAAATGCCTGTGATTGGTTAATTTCTTACGGCCTGAAGCTTACAGCTTACTTAAAGCAAGACTGTGGGCCAGGGGTAAAGCCCAATGTCTACGATGCTAGAACATGGTCCAAGTTTCGAGAAATCTGTAGCCAATCAACGTGCAACTGTTCCATAAAAACTGCAAGTTGATTGGCTACACGTTTCTCGAAACTAGAACTTGGACCAAGGCCTTAAGGCCTGTGTCCACGATGCTAGGACTTTGTCCAAGTTCTAGTTTCGAGAAATGCGTAGCCAATTAACCTGCAGCTATTCTATAAAAGTTGCAAGGTGATTGGCTACGCATTTCTCGGAACTAGAACTTGGACACACTTCTTGGATCGTGGACACACAGGGCTTTAGACCTTGGCCATTGGCCTTAAGGCCAGTTTGTAGGCAATTTTTATACTTAACTCCGTCTTAAATACACGTTCAACGAGTATTTACCCAAAAAGTGACCCGCGCGGACGCTGCACAGACAACATTTCCGGATAAGAGATATCGCGAGAGGTATTTACGATGATCTTTAAATACAAGAATCGACTGGAAACAAGGCTTAATGTGCACTCGGTGCGCGCTAGTGCGACCAATCGAATTCGCGCTATTAGTGTGCACTCTGCGGTGCGCACTTAGTGCAAGCAATCGAATTCGCTGCAGGATCAAAGTTAAGCCGACGTTTGGTGAAACCCCGGGCCTAAGTAGCGCCGACAGCGAGCTCGCACAGTCGGTTTTCACTTCGACGAATGCGTCAGCAATTAATTCTCAGTTCGCGCTTCGGAGGGCAAGGAGAACGATTTTCGAAAGCGCGGGGAACGTGGGCGAGAGATGGCTCCTCCCCCCTCCCCTCCTCCTCACCGCGCAAGAGCGCTCCGCGGACAGGAAACGGAGGCGAGCCGAGCGGAGAGAGCCCGAGCGATCGCGCGCAACGGCGAGACGCGCAGCGTTGCGTCCGCCGCGCGGGGACGGGAACAATTCGGTCGAGTAGCGGTTATCAGAATTAGAAGAGCGCGGAATCTCAGTCGCGCGCAATAAAATCGCGCGTCGATCGATCGCCCCCCGGGGGCTATCGGGAGCGCGCCGAGCCGATCGTCGGGGTCAGTGATCGCGCGGACGCGCCGCGCCGCTTTGTTTACGTCGCGTCGAGACGTAGGCTTCCCGCGGCCGTAGACACGATATATCTAGACCGAGCGCTGGAGGAGCGGAGGGTTCGCGTAGAAAAGGACAAACTCTTTTTCGTGCCATCTCGTTCTCTTTCGTTCGCGCGCAAACAAGAGAGAGCGAAAACTGACCCTGTAATCGGAGACTCTCGCGACTGATTTCGGAAAGTCGCCGCTTTTGTCGAGACGCGGATAAACAACGTTCCGACGAAACGAAACGTGCACTCGCGGAGGGAAGATTTCGGCCAAATCTGCCGATCGACGGCGCGGTTATTCCGTTCTCCTTGATCGCCCGACGACGTGGCCTTCGAGCTCCGCTTTCCGAACAATAGT